CATCATCATCATCATCAACATCACCATCATCATTCTTGATTCTAATCACTATTTTTTCTTTGATAGGAAATTAGCTTTCAAGAGTTATGAAGAAAGGAAAGAAGCAGCTAAGAAGATTGCTGACGAGGCTAAAAAATTTGAAAATCTTTTCAAAAAAAGGACAGAAAATGCTGAAGAGGTAAAATAAAAGTCTTTACACACACTCACACGAAAAAAACACTCAATTTGATAGAGGGTAACTAGATTTACACAAAGTAATTTTCATCCAGGTTCTTTCTAGATTGAATTAGAATTTAGTAGTTGATTTTTGCGGAGGGAGGAAAACTGAAGAAAAGCCTTGCAGCACAGGAGAGGGCCTTGGAATTCTCCAGGGGTGTTTTTGTGCTGGAATAGTCCCTTTTCTCATTCTGTAAATACCGCTGTTTTAAGACTGAAGACTCGTCTCCGCAGGCTTAGCCTCACTTAAGAGTAAATCATTTGCAAATGCCAACTGTAATGTAAAGAATGTGCAGCTTCAACAATACCAATGTTTTGAAATCCCACGGACTTTTAATGGTATCTGTGAATAGCTGACTTATAAACAAGGCTAAGCCTGTGCAAAATGAGTCCTGTAGTCTTCAAAAACAGTGGTATGCATTGAACGTGAAACTGGTCTATTCTTGAGGGGAGTTTTTTTTTGTGCTGTGCTGGGTTGAGGATTCCAATTTCACATGTATTCTTCAGGGGTAAGTTATGAACAGCACGGAATTCCACAGGGGTCTTCTTGTCTCCAGGAATTTCTTGGAGGGTTCTTAAAAACTTAGGTCCTCAATGAGGGGAGACGCGGCCGAAAAATAAAAGCAATAGCCCATTTTGAGCCAACACTAGTTAACAATTTCTTATTATTTGTTGATGATATGCAGGTAGAAAACCAGTGTTCAGTGCTGCCTGCTCTTGCTGAAGTCATTAAACTACAGGACACCTCCATGATGGCTTTAGAGATTTCTGTAAGTCAGATTGATTCAGTTTTACTATCATTAGAGACTATGCTTGATTGGATGTATATCTCATGGGGGCGACTACTCACTCGTTAAAATTGTACACACTGCAACTTACTACTCTGAGAATAGAAATTCCATCAAGTCTTCCAAAAGTCTTGTTCAGCTTCTGTTGCAAAGCTGGAGTCGTTGGCCATGTTTCTTTCCTTTCCTTTGCATTCTCACTTCATGTGTATGAGAATATATGTAAAATATATATTTGTACTGCAGTTGTAATGAGCTGATCAAATTGAGCTGATCCTCACAGTATATAAAGCAACTTATGCAGCTGCCAATTAAGACTCAGAGTCTCTCTTGAATCTTGAACGGGACTTTCCTAAAACTCTTGGATTTTGGCTATTTATGACAAAACTAGATAATCATAATAATAGTGATTTAAAGTTTTGATGCACTGAGTAAAGCGATGAAAGCATACTTTGAGTTTTCAACTCCACTGGAGTCTTGATCACAATGAATCTTGAGTGATTGTTACGCTCTAACTGCTATCATGAACATTTGGACCATGTGAATGCAGTAACTGGAGACTTTTAAATCCTAGACTGCAATCAGTCTCTATTTCTTTTTGTCACTGTTTGGTGCTTGCCTCGTGGTTTATAGTGAAGTGTAATGTCTATATTGTTCAGTCCAGATAGTCATGCTCAATGTCAATATAATTGTTATAAATGTCAATGCGATTTTTTGTATTGTCTGGTTTAGGGTCTTGCGGCAAAGTACCCAGACTTGAGGTCTGACCATGCAATGGCTTTGCTGCTTATGAGAGGAGATGTATGGAGGAATGATGCCAAAGAGGTAAAGATCAATCTATGTTGGCTCTCTGTGTGTAACAGGGGTAGAAGCTGGGGGCGGGACCGATAAACGACTGTTATTTTAAGCCCTGCGCTACAGTAGAGCAAGTGTATTTAACCTGGGAAATATAAAATACTTAGACGATAATTTGTAATAGTCAAAGAGATATGAAAGAAAACAGTGGAATTTGAGGGGGTCTACTAAATGTGTATTGTGTAGTTCCAGAAAATATTCATACACCCACCCATGGAGGGGAGCCTGGGAGACAGTCAGAAAAAGAAGAAAATTACATAGTTTGTGTGGAAAAAAATATCCATATGCCCCACCCACGGAGGGGAGGGAAGAGGGTCAGAAAAAGAAGAAAATTACATAGTTTGCGTGGAAAAAAATATCCATATGCCCCAGCCACGGAGGGGAGGGAAGAGGGTCAGAAAAAGAATAAAATTACATAGTTTGTGTGGAAGAAATTATCCGTGTGCCCCACCCACAGAGGGGAGGGGAGAGGGTTAGAGAAAGAAATTTTACAAATTCCCTCTGTTGTGGGGGACGTATGGATATTTTCTGGAACCACACATTAGTCTAATCACCTATTACTCTCAATATAATATTACCATCATATTATTCCAACTATAATATTGAAAGATTGAATATCCCATCCTCAGATCATCATGGAGACATCACTAGCAGACAGTAAAAGGGAAAATCAAGAAGGTGTTGATAAAGGATTCTTTGATCAGATTATAGTCCCACCATCTTTACTAGACAAACTGGAAACTGCTATGAAGTCTAAACTAAGTAAAAATAATTGATAAGCAGTAATTAAAGAAATAGTACGACTATATTATTCAGGGTTCGTACAGATTCCTCAGTGAAAATTTACAAAATTTTTCCAAAAGTTTCTCCAAAACATCAGCATTTTTAATTAATACAACGAAAAGAGTTCTTTGCAAGGTAGGACCTGGGCAACCAACAGAAAAAARTCATAACTTTTCCATAGCCCAATGGTCGAAAAAGAAGTTTTCAAAAGTTTTCCATGTCCTGGAAAAATGCATTATTGATTTCTAAAACTTTCCAAGACTTTTCCTAGACCTTTCCTAGACCTGTATGAACCCTGATTATTGGTGAATGAAAATTTTTCAAAGACTGTTTCTGAATACTCCATTAATTCTTAGTTTCATTCAGTGAAAATAAATGTGTAGTTCCAGAAATCATCCATACCCACCCCACAGAGGAATTTGGAATTTCCAAAGAGTAGGGGGGGTCAGAGAAAGAACAAAATTACWGAGTTTGTATGGAAGAAAATTGGAATTTCTGGGGGTAGGGGGGGTCAGAGAAAGAACAAAATTACAGAGTTTGTATGGAAGAAAATTGGAATTTCTGGGGGTAGGGGGGGTCAGAGAAAGAACAAAATTACAGAGTTTGTATGGAAGAAAATTGGAATTTCTGGGGGGTAGGGGGGGTCTGAAAAAATCCTCCGTGGGGGGTATGGATAATTTCTAGAATTACACAATAATTTGAATTAGTTTGAAGTCAAGGTACATACATTTACAGTCAAAACGGCTCAAGCTTACCCCCTAGGTTCCATTAATGGCTCCACCATTCGAATATTGAAATTTATAATTCTTTTTGAGAATACAAAGACACAGGATTCAAGATAACTAATTCAGGACTCGAATTCTGATTGGATTATGGTGTTCCTCATAAGGTTATTATTTTGAATCCTGCGTCTTAGAATTCTCGGAAAGAATATTGACTGTTAATGTACCTTGACTTCAAACTAGTATTCTGTGTAGACTATAACAAATTCATTTAATGCCAGGGAATCGAAAGTTCTTTTAATATTTCTAATCAATATGTGAAACAAATGAAAATTACTGGTAAGATGATGTAAGCAAATGAACCAAAATGAGTTATTAATAATATTTTTATTAAATACAGGTAAATGCTTTTTCTTTATTCATATGTTAAGTATTGTAAATTAAATTTTGTGAATAAAAAACTTTTTAAAAAACCACTCACTGATACCTGGGTCACCATCCTCCCCACCCCCCAAACACCATCAAACACTTGCCGACGTCTTGCCAACAACAGGAGAATGAACTACTAATCTCTTAAAAAACTTGTCATTCAGCTGTAAAAATTCCATTTTGAATGAGAATTGAGTCTATCAACAGAGTGACTTCCATTATTATATTTCCTCATCGTTTTGGGTAGATTGTGTTCGGCATCTTGAATGTATTCTTTCTTCCAGGTGGGTGACCATAATTCCATGGGTATGTTGCGTGAGTAATGGGTGTTAAGTATGTATGTTTTTTTATGACTGTTCTCCCAAGCTGACTGTACATAAATTGGTTGGCAGGTGACTGAAAGATAATTGAATGAATGTTAGGGAAAGAGTCATTTAATATGCCGAGGGGGGATTAAGAAATGTGCGTGTTGCGGGAGGGAGGTACCAATATTTTTTGGGGGTATGAAAGGGGGGGCTCTAAAAATCTGTCATGCATTTGAAGGAGGCTCTCTTTGAATTTTAAAACTTTCATGTGTTGTTTGCGGGGGGGTCTTTGGAAATTAAGTTAAGTTCTAAAGGGGGGGCCTGTAAAAAAAAAGGGTTTTTGAGGAGAAATCTTCATCCCCGTATAATTTAGCTTCAAAGGTTTATCCATTTTAATCCGACAGTATTTTTAAAAATTAAAAAAAAAAGAATTCATTGACAATTTTGTTAAATTTATCCAACATGGCGACTATGACGTCATGTGCAAACGAAGAATTTGACAATTTCTGAGACATAAAACCAGAAAACAAGACATCAAAACAACCCGCAAGAGTCTACAAGCCATTAAAAATGCAGATATTACCGGAAGTGACGTCTATTGATAGCAACCTATTGTTATGCTAGAGATACCAGATACGGTTTCACCACCTTTAAACCATCTTTCCTGCATTTTGTATCACAACCTTTACTCGTTGGATATGGATTTTTTTCTTATGATCCTCATCAGTCTTAGCTCATGAATTTGTTGTGACTAACTTTATTGAAATAACTAAACCACGGTTTTGGTAAATATTATTAGAATATTATTTTTWTTATTATTACTAGATTTAGGTTCATACCTTGTTACTAACAGGCATTAACAGGGTTGTAGGTTCCCCCACCAGCCCAAAACCTACCTATAGCCCCTGACATACTAGCCGCATACACTCTACGCTTAATTTCACATCTAGTTTTGACTCTAGTTTCTGGGCTATTCGTCTTGTTTCCTTTTACGGCATGTTCCGAAAGTCACATATCATTAGRACAGTATTATCATTATTACTAGATTTAGGCTCTTACCTTGTGGTCATCAGCTCGGTGTCTTGGTAACGTCTTGGTCGGCGTCTTCTCAGGCAATTCTTTCTTTCGTTCCTCCGCTCGGTACGATCGACTGCAAACGTATTCYTCCTCGATCATTCTACGTCTGTCGCAGATAAAAATAAGCTCACTAAAGAGTGCTTTCTTTTAAATCTTTACGATCAAATGTTCTTTTTCATCGATTTCGAAGTTGTTTTCGTTTTGTTTTGATTCTATTGCGATGGCAAAGGAGCCTGGGTAGTTCCCAGGSTCTCTCCATGTGATTACCAAAAATGACAAAATGGCGGCAAAAACGATTATTTTAAAATTCTTTACTTCTTTGTTATTTGGCTTTGAGGCGTAAAATACTGGTATTTTTAAGTTTTGGAAGCTCTATMTTGTTTTGTGACGCTGAGTGCTCCTTGTAGAGCGGCTAAAACAAGCCATTCAAGACGATTTAAACTCAAGGTAAGGCCCGCTTAGAAACTGCAGGTACGTCTCCGTGACTACGGTGCACTGATATGACCTATTCGGAGCTCTTCCAGGGCATTAATACAAACCTAGCACTCGCCTGGTCTAGCCTCATGGCACGACTCAACTCGAAACGATGCGGGATCGCAGCCATGAATACAGCCGTCTCGAAGTCTCAATAGGCCCTTAGCAGTTAACGATCACGTGTCTGTACTGGAATGCAAAATTTTTGTTTTTATATTAAATTAGTGATTCTTTTTCGCTACTTGTAAAGAACTGAATGAAAACATGTGTAACCAGTGTGTTACGAAATGTAGTTTCATTACGATCTCTCCGCGAAACAGGTTGTAGAAAGTTTGTTTGCAGTCCAGTAAATTTCACCCATGGGAATCAAAATGTTCATTCATTTGCTCTCAGTGAATTAATCAGCACGTGATTGCTTAGCTACAAAGGGCCTATTGCAAAAAATCTCCAACCAAAATAAACTGTTTGTCGCCGAAYGGTTTCATGAGTTCGAATTCGCTTGCGACTAATCGGTACACTCGATTTGTCAGTTATCACGTTCTTTGGCTTGACATTCCACACTTGTCCCATATATTAACGGTGTCTGCAGACTTCACTCTTTGAACGATRCGTTCCATGATTTTCCATGGCGAATACTCTTTCAACGACCATCTTTGCAGGTAGATCGGCAGTATAGAGAGCCATAGTTAATTGAGGGGAATCAACTATGGTTGAAGCCAGTAACATGTTTCAATAACTTTATACCAGATAAATAGATTTTTTTTCTCATAGAAAATCTTCATTTACTTCTTTAATTCCTAGGCAACCAGTTTTAGAAAACTAAATTTCAATTTTGTGGACTATTTTTGATCTATCTTCAGAAAGAAAACATACGTTTTGGTACTTTTGACTCCAAGCTCAGAAAGTGGGTACAAAGTTCATGTGAGATGAATAAATTATCTCTTTGAGTGACGTTGAAGCCAGTTAAATGTTTCAAAACTTCACACCAGATAAATAGATTTTTTTCTCTCAGAAAATCTTTATTTACTTCTCTAATTCCTAGGCAACAAGTTTTAGAAAGCTGAATTCTAATTTTCTG